AATAATAATAATAATAATAAATGATAATAATAATAATAAACAGTGAAACAGTGATAATAATAACAATAAACAGTAATGCTCATTGTAATGGTTCTGTTAAAATTTGTTTTACCATATGTTTTTAATTTTTTCATCTTTTTCTTTGCAGGATATTATATCAAAATGTAAAGGAGAAATTGCAACGCATGTTTGGATTAATTTGAAGCCTGCAGGACGTATTCTTGCTCAAGCTTGCCATATTGGTAATCCTGGTTAGTTTACTAAAATATGCATAAATAAATAAATGAGCAAATAAATTATGAAAATTACTAATTAATTAAATTGATATCTTTGATAAAAATTTCATCAAAATTTTATTTTTTTTACAAAAAATAATCATATTATTTTAGCATAAAAATGAAAATATTTATAATTTGCTTAAAGTATTGATCATATGCCTCTTTTTCAATATACCTTTAAAATATTATTTCCTAAATGAAATTTTTTTCAAATTGAACTTATTTGTTCCCATATATTCGTATATGTTACAAAATGATAATATTTATAAGCTTTAAATTCATTTCAACGTTTCATTTTGTATATTTGTCAAATTTAAATATTCTAATAAAATTTTTGAGCTAAAAATTTTGCAACAAAACCTTATCGCACAATAATTATTCCTCACCTTTCTCTATACCTTTTTTCTTTTTTTTCAATTTCTTTAAAATTCTCCTACAAATGACATTGATGTTGTTTATTTATGTGTGCGTAAAATTTGAATTTAATTTTGTTGGCATGGAAAAAATAAGTATGTTCAAAAAAAAAAAACGAAAAACAAAACTAATTACGTAATTAGCAAGTATAGTAGAATATAATTACATAGGTAAAAGTATGATATAGGTTATTATAATATAGGTAAAGATATGGTAAAATTAGTTATTGCATTTTTAATGATAGCGTAATTTTGTATGATTAGAATGAAAAAAAAACAAAAACAAAAAAAAAATAAATTATTTAAATTGAAAGAAATATGTTATTTGTTCAAATGTTTTCCAAAACCATTAACGAACAATGAATTCCCGAAGGTTTGTGTGGGCTGAAATTAGTAGTGAACGATAAATCCTGAAAGCTTTTTTGTCACAAATATTTAGGAATAAATTTGTTAGCATTCAATTAGATGTTAATTTTAAGATGTTCAACAATTTCATTCATTTTATATGAGTGAATATTTCCTCTCTTTTAGTAAGCAAATATATTCCTTCCATTGTTTTTGCATTTTCCCAATTCAACTTTGTCACACAATATTTTATCCATTAAGTTTTTCATCCTCAAAATTATTATTATTATTCCCATGATAAATTTGATATTTTAAGCTTAGCAATTGAAATGAATAATGTACATAACTTAAAAACTTAGTTATCCTTTTTTTTCCTTTCAATAATTAATTATTTTGTTTAATTGAGTTGAAAAAAAAAAAAATCAGCAAAGTATTTTCACTGGAATTTCAATCATCCGCTCGTCAGTTGTTTTGTTAGCAATATTGTTGTTTCACATTTCTTTTTTTTTGTTTTTTATTTT